GAGGAGACAATAGGATTTTTAGATGGAAATCACGAAGGAGGGAAAGGTGTAATCGACTATCTTAAGTCCACTTACCCAGAGTTAACTGGGTATGATTTCTGTAAAGATCTCAAGGATATCGGGCGAAATGATATCATCAAAACACTGTCAGACCAGTTAGTTTCAGTTGCGAATTAGCTTAGAATTGCAACTGTTGGACTGAACTGCTTCTTTCTTTCTTCTTGTTACAGCAAGGAACCCAAAAGTGTGACCGCTTTTTGATTTATTGATACATTCTTTCGTGCAGATTTAATCCAATCAGAAGCCAGCTGGAAACTGTTCTCGACTTCTGATTGGTTTATGTCTGCATGAAAGAATGTGAGTCTATTAGAGGAGATCACACTCCTTGCTGTAACCCTCTTAAGTCCCAAGAGTGGCCAACATCAGTTTTCTCCTAACGATATCACTACACCATCAAAAGAAAAGGTTATGGGAATTAATATAATGATCACTAAAGAGGGAAAATGCTTTCATCCTTTATCAAATAATTCCAAATAATTCTTTAAGGAGACGGTCTGGAGATTGTGTGTGTAAATATTGGGACTAACGGGGTTAAGAGAATCAAGGCTACAAAACGGACTGATGAAGTTAGTTTTTTTCTATCATAATCAACCCCAAGTTAAAACTGACAGAGCATAGCAGTAAATAGAATAAACGATATTTTTACAGTTAGGGCATAACTTCCATCTAATCTATCGTCCAAGACCATAGTTAATAGAGGGAATGGTTATGAAACCCGACAAAGTTCTTTGTTGTATGTTTTTGTTCTCTTTTTTGGCCTTGACCCTGCACAAAACACAATAGTTGTTTACTCCGTACTGAGGAACTAACCAATAGAAACGTGCTGGTTACGTAATTCATGCATAACGTATGAACGCAAAACAAAAGATTGTGCAGGGTCGTGGACCTTCTAACATAAATCTTGGCATCTTTGTTTGCTCCTTTGATGTTTGCCGGGCTTCATAACCAGTCACCTCCATTAACTATGCCCAGACGTAGATGATCGAGATGTTGGGCGCGATTCACCGATTCTCAAAATTTTGTAAAACGTGGTGGCTGCATTAATATAGTTATCGTAGGCAGGTACGTTGTTACAAAACTCAACCAGTTTTTTATATTTTTGTATTTTCTATTACTTTTTAAGCACTTCGGTTAGACTTCTAACCCGCTCTCTGTCGATCTGTAAAGATCCGTTAGTTAAATTGATATTAATTCGTCTTTAAAAACTGGAGATGCTTCTTGTAACGTAAATAGTAAGGCAGGGTGCAATTTTCAACACGGCTACCCGACGTCACATCAAACGCTTAACGTGTTTGATTGTAAGCGTTGTACATTCATTTATACGTTTCACTCCTATTTGAACCCAGAGTTGATGCTCAAGAGATATTCAAGATAACTGTTTTTCGAACAGACAGTCAAACCACAGGCGGCATTAACTGATTTGTTGTAATACTGAAGATTATTTACTTTACTGATAAGAGAATTGTGTTTTTTGGCGTTCATGTTGATTTTTTTTCTTTTCGGTCAGCTGATGCTAGGCCTGGAAACGAGAAAGCTTGAGGGTCTGGGAAAGTCGGAAATTCGGAAAACTCTTGGAAGATACGAGCCGGTGGCGAGTATATGCGCGCGGCTCCGAAGGTTTCTTAGTTACAGACCTCACATCATCTAACCGCAAAATCAAAATGACTGCCAATTCACAGAAAACTGATTTTTACACATCGATTAACTATCGATTTATTGTTATCAAATCTTTCATAACGGACGCCTCTCTATTAAGGACAGTTCTTATGGTCGTAATATGCCATTCTTTCAAATATCAACTTTTTAATTTTTTTAAAGGAATTTGCATATTAGAGCTAGTGTAAAGTACTGCTACTTAGTTAAAGTACTACCATTTAGTCTCATTTCAAAAAGTGAACAACTTTTCTAGGTTTTTTGGTAATGACGTGGGTGAAGAGAAAAAAACACCCAAGATCAAAGTAATCAAAAGTGATTGAAGTATAGGTAAAATGTTACGGAATTTGTATTTATTGGTCGAGTTTCTAGTATAGCTGGTCTACTATAGTCGCACTCAATCATGCGTTCGTAATAGTGATTAATTGTATTTAACAGTTTTGCTAAATAACTTCAGTAGGTTGTAGCTGGGCTACCTTACGACATTAGGAATTGTAGAGACTATATATGTTTTTGTAGTAAATTGATGTTGCAATTCATTTGAGTTTTACTATACAATTATACTTCTGGAATAGATGATGTACCTGCACTCCTCCTCCCCCCGGACGTCGAGTGCACTATGGACTCCCGATTCAATTATCTCACCTTCTGCTTGTTTCTACTCCCGTGTGTTAACTCAGTTGTAGTAGCTTGACCCGTGTGTATTGGGGGGCTGGGGGAAGAGAGGGGGTTGCAGGAACACGTGAATGTGAACACTTTGTCAGCAATAAAAACCTGCAATTTAACTTTCCTCAAGCGATACGAGGAGTATCCCCGTCTATTCCTTATGTATCTCGTTCTCCTTCCCCCACCCCCTTTGGGTTTCGAAGGGATTGGATTCCTATTATGTCCACTATACCACGTTAGGGTGATTGCCAATAAGCCTATTGCTTGCTGTCAGCTATGCCAAAAAGCTTGGAATTCCAAACAATAGAAAATAATTAAAAATATACTTTGTTCACCAGCTTCAAAAATTAAAATCACCGCTCATAGAAACTTACAAATAGTTTCACCTAAGACTAAGCCCTTCTAATTTCTGTTTTCCGAGTCTAGTTTCAGAGTTCAGTTTTTAGGGAACCTAAGAAAAGAATTAGTTCTTTTAATGTACGGCTATCGCCATCCTTTGTGAGAGAACATCCACGAGATACAGCCGCCTGAGACCTGCTTCTTTGAACGTCTTGCAAACATAGTAAACGGTCAGATTAGGTGCCAGAGATGTCAGCTTTTCAAGCATGGCTCTTGCGGGGATTTTCTCTTTCTCCAAAGAGGAGATTTCCGTTTCCCTCATAGCATATCTTCTTAACGTATGAACGCAAAACAAAAGATTGTGCAGGGTCGTGGACCTTCTAACATAAATCTTGGCATCTTTGTTTGCTCCTTTGATGTTTGCCGGGCTTCATAACCAGTCACCTCCATTAACTATGCCCAGACGTAGATGATCGAGATGTTGGGCGCGATTCACCGATTCTCAAAATTTTGTAAAACGTGGTGGCTGCATTAATATAGTTATCGTAGGCAGGTACGTTGTTACAAAACTCAACCAGTTTTTTATATTTTTGTATTTTCTATTACTTTTTAAGCACTTCGGTTAGACTTCTAACCCGCTCTCTGTCGATCTGTAAAGATCCGTTAGTTAAATTGATATTAATTCGTCTTTAAAAACTGGAGATGCTTCTTGTAACGTAAATAGTAAGGCAGGGTGCAATTTTCAACACGGCTACCCGACGTCACATCAAACGCTTAACGTGTTTGATTGTAAGCGTTGTACATTCATTTATACGTTTCACTCCTATTTGAACCCAGAGTTGATGCTCAAGAGATATTCAAGATAACTGTTTTTCGAACAGACAGTCAAACCACAGGCGGCATTAACTGATTTGTTGTAATACTGAAGATTATTTACTTTACTGATAAGAGAATTGTGTTTTTTGGCGTTCATGTTGATTTTTTTTCTTTTCGGTCAGCTGATGCTAGGCCTGGAAACGAGAAAGCTTGAGGGTCTGGGAAAGTCGGAAATTCGGAAAACTCTTGGAAGATACGAGCCGGTGGCGAGTATATGCGCGCGGCTCCGAAGGTTTCTTAGTTACAGACCTCACATCATCTAACCGCAAAATCAAAATGACTGCCAATTCACAGAAAACTGATTTTTACACATCGATTAACTATCGATTTATTGTTATCAAATCTTTCATAACGGACGCCTCTCTATTAAGGACAGTTCTTATGGTCGTAATATGCCATTCTTTCAAATATCAACTTTTTAATTTTTTTAAAGGAATTTGCATATTAGAGCTAGTGTAAAGTACTGCTACTTAGTTAAAGTACTACCATTTAGTCTCATTTCAAAAAGTGAACAACTTTTCTAGGTTTTTTGGTAATGACGTGGGTGAAGAGAAAAAAACACCCAAGATCAAAGTAATCAAAAGTGATTGAAGTATAGGTAAAATGTTACGGAATTTGTATTTATTGGTCGAGTTTCTAGTATAGCTGGTCTACTATAGTCGCACTCAATCATGCGTTCGTAATAGTGATTAATTGTATTTAACAGTTTTGCTAAATAACTTCAGTAGGTTGTAGCTGGGCTACCTTACGACATTAGGAATTGTAGAGACTATATATGTTTTTGTAGTAAATTGATGTTGCAATTCATTTGAGTTTTACTATACAATTATACTTCTGGAATAGATGATGTACCTGCACTCCTCCTCCCCCCGGACGTCGAGTGCACTATGGACTCCCGATTCAATTATCTCACCTTCTGCTTGTTTCTACTCCCGTGTGTTAACTCAGTTGTAGTAGCTTGACCCGTGTGTATTGGGGGGCTGGGGGAAGAGAGGGGGTTGCAGGAACACGTGAATGTGAACACTTTGTCAGCAATAAAAACCTGCAATTTAACTTTCCTCAAGCGATACGAGGAGTATCCCCGTCTATTCCTTATGTATCTCGTTCTCCTTCCCCCACCCCCTTTGGGTTTCGAAGGGATTGGATTCCTATTATGTCCACTATACCACGTTAGGGTGATTGCCAATAAGCCTATTGCTTGCTGTCAGCTATGCCAAAAAGCTTGGAATTCCAAACAATAGAAAATAATTAAAAATATACTTTGTTCACCAGCTTCAAAAATTAAAATCACCGCTCATAGAAACTTACAAATAGTTTCACCTAAGACTAAGCCCTTCTAATTTCTGTTTTCCGAGTCTAGTTTCAGAGTTCAGTTTTTAGGGAACCTAAGAAAAGAATTAGTTCTTTTAATGTACGGCTATCGCCATCCTTTGTGAGAGAACATCCACGAGATACAGCCGCCTGAGACCTGCTTCTTTGAACGTCTTGCAAACATAGTAAACGGTCAGATTAGGTGCCAGAGATGTCAGCTTTTCAAGCATGGCTCTTGCGGGGATTTTCTCTTTCTCCAAAGAGGAGATTTCCGTTTCCCTCATAGCATATCTTCTTGCTATCTGCTTCCAGGTGGGTAGCCTAGGCAGGCTTTTTTTGCTTAGCAAGTCAATTATTGCTTGTTTAGCGTCAGCATCGAGTTCGTGTAATCCTCTGAATCCTAATGAAGTGCCGGGAAATCATGTTAATAGCAGATCATTAAAACAAGAAATAAAATATAATCAGTTAAACAAAATGCATTTTCTTAAAGACACGGCGAGATAAGGGGGGGGGAGGGGGGTTAGGGTCAGGAGACCTCTTCTGGTCTTCAAAAAAAAAATTTTCGGGCCACGGTTTGGTCTAAAAATAAGGGGGAGGGGGGGCTAGCCTCCCGGGGGCCCTGCCCTGGATCCGCCACAGACCGTACTTACTCATATGGGGAGATGGGAAAACATCGACATCCGCGGGTTCCGAAGTCAACGATCCGCTCTTATCCCACACACGACAGAAATAGCGGCCAAAGTCCTGCATGCGCACCGGCTCTAACACCAGGTCCGAACGATTTGCCCCAGGGATTTCTATATCATCTTTAATCCAGCGGTATGAGACATCAGGTAAGCTACGCGTCCTGCAACTTAACACCAACTTCCTTCCTTCCTGAATGGCTTGGGACCGAGGCATCTGGATAATCTCTAAGGCTGTGATGCAAAAAAATGAGAATGACAATGACAATGGTAACGGTAATGATGATGATGATGATACTGACGAGATATAAATGCACCAAATAATTCAAAGATTCATTAACTGTAAGTTCCGTCCATTACCGCTTACTGAGTTACACGCCCCCAGTGAAATGCTGTAATTACTTAGTCTCAGAACGCGATTCGAAATCGTTATGAATTATCTGCATGAATATTCAGTTCTCATTTTTCGTATTCGATCGCTTGAGACAAATTTATTTGAGTAGCAGGTAAAATACAATACTCGTTTTTTCCAAAGTTTTTTGACTGGAACATCATTTTATCCTAGTCTCCAAAAACGTATAATTACTAATAAGGGTGCAATGTTAAAAAAGCGAAGAATACAAAGTACTACTCTACAGATAAGACCCATGTTAAAACGGAAGAGAGAAACTCGAAAACTTACAGTTCTCGTCGGGATCTTCTTCGGACTGGTACCCAGAGCTCAACCCTAGAGATGTACCCGAAGAGGCCCTTGGACGAGGTTGTTGAATGTCAATATCTAGTGTTGGTGTTAATTAAACAGTAGATTAGGAGGATAAGGCAAACCGCTTAGATTTATAAAAAACAACGTGCGTCAGTAGTCAGTCATTCGTGTTTACCTCTTTGTTTGAGTAACTGTTGCTGTTGTCGTTGATCAATAAACTGCGGGGGATATTTTTTATTAGTTTTGCCAGCGTAGAAGTCGCCGACGCCCCGCGGCAGTGGGAAACAACATTTGTTAGCAGGTTAGAATTCTCTTTGAGTAATTTTAGTTTTTTGACCACGATGTATGAAAAATGAAAACAAACAATACAGGTATTATATTATTACTTTTTTCACCTGTTTCTAAGGCTTGAAAGCGTTCAAGTTCCCTGTCCTTCTTCTTCAACTTCTGCTGCAACTTTTCATTTTCCTTCTCCAACTCGTGGACCTTTTCAAGAAGTTCCCGGATATCCCTTTGCAAAATTTTCATCTCCTCCTTTCCAGCCCGCGTTTTATCCTTTATTTCTATCCCATCGACTTTTCCTTGCTGGGCACTCTCACCCATTCTCCTATTTTCTTCTTGTAACTTTCCAATTGTTCCTCGAAGGCCTTTGGAAATAGCCATTTCTCGCTTTAGTGATTCCTTTACAATGTCTAGCTCTCTAGATCCATTTTGTTATTAAGTATGACAGAATGGAAACCAAAAAAAGCAAACAAACAAACAAATTAGGAGGGCGTGATAATGATAACCCGGAGCGTGCTTGTCCCATACTTAGCCTATGCAACGGCGTTTTCACAAATCAAGTTATTTTTAGCATCAGTTTTGAGCACTTTTTCCTGCCAAAATGGAAGCAACAAATGTATTATTCTGTGCAAGTGAAACGAAAGCAGCGCTGTGTGGGTTAAAGATTAAATGCCAATTGCTTTTCTAGTCGTGTTTGTTTTCTTTTTAAAGTTAGTGTGGGTATGTGCAATAAATAATTAATCATACGGGTAATATTGTTAGTTTTCGTTAGTTACTTTACCTTGGAAACATCAGCTGTATCTAGTCTTAAAGAAATAATGCTTGTTAAAAAAGTGAATGTCTTGTAAATTTCGTCAACCCAAGGTAACTTATTTTGACTGTAATGTTTGAAAAAAAATTACTGGTATTAAAAAAAAACGTTCCATTTGCGCGCGCATCCATAGTACGAAAATTACTGCCAAACTAAAGGGTTAAGGCTGGAGTCGTAAGACGGCTTATGACCTAGTGAAAATCACAAATCGGAGTCGTAAGCCTAATCATAAGCTCGACGCAATCAGAGTCAGAAGAATCAGAACGTTTCCATTTCTTCCGACTCCGCCTACGACTCCATCGCTTACGTCCCGCTTATGATCTAGTGAAGACCAGATTGTCGGAATCGGAAGCAGAAGCGGAAGGATAAACCAATCACAATGCACGTTCCCACGCTTTGTGATTAGTTTGGTTCTTTTGTTTCTGCTTCCGACTCCGACAATCTGGTTTTCACTAGATAATAAGCGTAACGTAGGCGACGGAGTCGTATAAGAGGAATCGGGACGCTGTTCGCTTTGACTACATCATAAGCTCTACGCTTTTGATTACGACTCCGACTTCGACTCTGTCGCTAGTGAAAACCAGCCTTTAGAATGAGACAGAAGCGGGAACCTATTACTGATCGGCTCCTGGTAGAAGTCTATTTGATGGACAGTGCCTTTTTGAGGATGTGAGATGTTCCAAGTAGTGTGATCTTCTGTAGTTCATGGATTTTGATATTACGCGGGACTTGTTGTATATATTTCTCCATTACCATCATCATCGTCATCATCATCATCATCATCATCATCATCATCATCATCATCATCATCATCATCATCATCACCATCATTATCATCATCATTATGATACGTAATTCACTAATAAATGATAGATTGCATTGATCAATTACGACTGTAACACTTCGTGTGGACTGATCCAGGATGGTTTATTCAACAAGCTGCAGGAATTACAGACTTGTTTTTTATCCTCACTTGCATGACCTCTAAGCGTTGCCCTTGAGCTTTTCCAAAATTGCATTCTATTTTTTCACGGAGAACTGATACCATCGTCTTTGCTAAGTTAAATACCTCCCCCCTAGCCCCCCACTCAAATAAGTCCCCCGTTTCTATTAGGCCCCCCTGTTTGAAATAAATAAGTCCCCCAGGGAGCTTAATAATAGATTTACGGTAAGAAACTGAATACTGCGAAAAAACAAACAAAAAAATAACCTAGGGACTAGTCTCCCATACCTGTTTCTTATTTGGATAACTTGCTGATATACTTTCCCCGCGTTTCTGAGAGTGACATCCAGCTCTGTCGTAAAGCCGATTTTTTTAAACTCTTCCTCTAACCGAGACTTAATCCTCTTCGTTTCAAAATCTTCCAAAAACACTAGAAAGCTTGCTTCTGTGCTACAAAGCAACTCAGTCAGAATAGAGTGCCCGTCTTCGATGTTCGTGACTTTAGGCTCCACATCACCCAAGAATTTTCTGTCCAAAGCTCTTCTGATAGCACTTTCAGAGGGCCCCTTGCAGGTCAGATAAAATGCCCCAAGTGATAACGCACCCACACTTACAGCTCCTGCTAGCCACACGTTATCAATCTTCAGTGATAACGAAAAAGCCCCTGCAGTAAGGGAGAGGTCCATAACTGCCTTATTGCCCACTTCAGCTGCGGCTTTGGCTATGTCTTCTGCCATTATAAACCTCCTGAGTTCTGAAGAACAACAATAACAACAACAACAAGACAAGCAAACCAATCACTCTTTTCTTGGAAAATCAGGAATCCAAGAATTTTGGCTTGTGAGATCAGGAATCCTGGGCTTTGGAATCCGGAAAACAGCTCTAGGAACAAGAAATCTGGAATTGCAGTAACGACTGGAATCCAGAATCCAAGTTCTACTGGCAAAGAATCCAGAGACCAGTACTGGAATCCGGAACTGATGGAGGTCATGGAGTGGAATCCAGGATCTAACCGGTCCTGGATGCCCTTACAAGGCAGTGGGGGATCCAGACCCTGTGATAAGGGAGGGGGGTTGGGGAGGGCGAGGCGGTCTCAAACATTTTTTTCGGTCCTTCAGGCCTCCGCCACTGCAAGGGAGGAAATTATTATATATTCTGAGAGAAGTGACGTCATAAAGAATTAAATAGCATTTCGGGGTAAATTTTCTCTGAGATATTAGCCCTTTTCTGTCCTGATTTACAAATCCTTCTAAATTTGACTCGGGTCATAACGTTATGACTCAAGTGAAATTTAAAAGTATATCTTAAAAACTCTTATTCTTCGGCCATTTTAACTTCAGTAAAAATAAAACACAAATCGCGGTAACAAGCATGATGAAACAAGCAGCATGCGTTGTTTAATCGTGTTTGTTACTGCAGTTTGTGTTTTATGTTTACCAAATTTAGAAGGATTTGTATGGAGTCATCTGAGCATAACTGGGCTTAATTTTAGGAAACGATTTGCCCCGAAGTGCTAATTTTTGGCAAGTAGGCCTCTTGGACGTTGTTCTTTCAGATTATCCTGACAAATCCCATAATTCACTTCACAAATTTAATTATTACACGTCATCACTTTAGAACTCTATTGCCCACGCCTTATGCGAGAATAAAGGTAAATCAGTCCATTTGCTGGCCCTTGAAAAATTTGAAAACCAGAAGGATTGGTCCAGTTTCTTGCTTTAAGCCTACTTTTGTAATTTGTGAGCGAAGGTAAATGACGTCAATATCAAGAGCTACTAGGGATAAAGATCAAAATCAAAATCCGTTAAAACCGCTCTTTGCCATTATTAGACCCATGCCAATTAATTCTCAGAATAAAAAAGCAAAAGGAACCAATTTCAATCACACTAACTTGCAGGCTGAGTATGCGTGGCTTTCCTGTAAAACAGAGCCGGAACAGGTTCTAATTTCAATAGCGTGACGCATAACATTCCCGAACCCGCAGCTCAGTTGTACATTCCGCCTGATTCCATAGTCATGATCCTTTCATCAGACTTTTTAAAATTGAGATCGACGAGAAAAATCTAAAGAGAATTTTTTTATTTATGAAAGAGGATCATCAAAGAAGTATCCCTCCTTTATTCGATAATTGCCCCACATGAGAATTGGCCTCGGGAATATTAGCAAGTCACTCAGGAATTGACCTTCAAAAATCTTTAATCGCATTTCCAGCTTGTAAGCTGTCACGCTCCGTTATATGGTGAAACACTTTTCCCCAATAATCAGTTGGATCGCCCGGCTGGACTACTATATCAAACAGTTTTTGAGGGTTTTTTCTATATTGAGAGACCACCCGGAACAAATATGTAAATCGCTGCGAATAATACGTAGTTAATACATTACTGACAAATATCATTGCATTGATTCACTCACCTATCCCCTCTTATTTCCAATGTATTATAGTGCTCTTGAAGCGTTTTGAATATCCAGTAATTTAATGGACACGGAATATGCAGAGAATAGAACAAGGAGCGTAGCTTTTTGTATTGCTAATGGCAATTTGAGGTCAGTTTCAAGAAATGACTTTCGCGTGTCCCTCATCAAATCCCAGGAGAATTCATATAAATAGTTCGTCACGCGTTCCTGCCCCGTGACGTGCCAAAAGTACATGGGTCTAAGTGACCGTTTGTGGCTTTAATTTTTTCTTTCTTTCATGTTTGTATATTTCATTCTGTCTTGATCTTGTCTAATAAAGAATGAAATAAATAAATAAATAAATAAATAAATAAATAAATAAAAGAACGTTTTCGTGGGAGTAGCCTCGTCTCGCGTTTTTCTCCCATGCAGGACCTAAAAGAGCGAGGAGAAACGGATGTTTTCGCAGGCTATGCAGGACCATGCAGCAGTTTTGTCTCTTCACGCAATTGCTTGTCAGAATACAAAGAAAAACAAGAAGACGCTAAAGGTAAGCTTCAAAGCGATATTCAATGTACATTTTGCTAATTTAGTGAGCGAAGAATATTTCTCCATACAACGTCTTATAATTTTCTGGCTGTATGAATATTTAATTAGCTAAGTAGGATAATGTTGTTCAGGGCTTCATAGTGAGCTTGGGCTACCTGTGGGGAGACTGGGCTCTAAGGTTTTTGCTATTTGCATTTCAATATGGCGGACAAATTGACGTTTTCCTGAGCAACAGATTGTTTCCTCTGTTTAGAATTTGCATATTGATATCTGTTTTTCTGTCGACACTGGTGGCTAAAAGATGATCTGTAAAAACGGAGTCCCAGCTCGAACCGTCTCCGATCTTCATGAAGCCGGTAGTATTTATGTGAAACTTGTTTTTCGTTCTGTTTTGTTCAATACACGATTTCTTATTTCAGTTGTTTCATATTCATCAGGGAGCTTTTACTTTTGATAGAGGATTTTCGCGAATATCGTGTCTTGGTTTGGGGAAGCACATATAACAGTTGTTATATCGTTTGACAAAGTGTGCATTTTCCGAGATACGAAGTTTAAGCTTGTTGATTGTAATAGTCATCTTTAAGTTTCACAATTCATCTGAAGGCTCATATGAATGTATTAAATTTTCTCGTCGGGTGACCTTAAGCTTAAGTTTTAAATTTATGGCAGAGGCTTAAAAATATAAAGAGCGGTGTGACAATATTATTTAATGAAATAAACTTTGAAGACATTGTGCCCGCGATTTTACTTCATTTTTTCTTCTACTTTTTTACATTCGGTTTTGTAGAAGGAATAAGGGAATGAGTCATCCTAAAAATTAACTTTCAAAACATTTAACTATCTATTTATTATATTATCATTTGCTGTATTTTGTCTTTAGCATTCACTGGTGATATTCGAGAAGTTACACAAGCCCTTGATGATGGACAGGTAAAAGATACGTCATATGTAACGGCAGTCATTAATTTGTAAGCTTTGTAGCTTACATACTAACAACTAAAAATCTTTTGGTTCACACGATGAAGCTTCCTATGTTCCATCTCTTTGATAATTTGTACTTTTATATTTAGTATATTTTATAAATAATAATAATAATAATAATAATAATAATAATAATAATAATAATAATAATAATAATATTTAATCATTGCATTAAGTTTTTGACAACCTAATGTTTCCTGGGTCCTCTCGAGGAGATTCTTTGACTGATACATTCTTATGCACCTATCAATGTAAATCCCGTGGGGGGGGAGTGCGGGCAAGGGTAGGGGATTTGATGCCTGGGACTATCCCCGCTATCGGGCTTTTGATCGTGCGAAGCGACCCCGGGGTCGGGACATTTAACTTTGACCGACAGAAGCCTGGTATCAATTCAGAAGCAGTTACCAAGTCCGTCC